AAATATTTTAACATATGCTATTAACTTAATTTAGTTTCGTTAAAATACTATTTAATACCATTTCTAAAAATATATTAACAAGTAATATTTCAAAATCATCTACATTTAAATATCAATGTTAATTATATTTAACTTAAAAAGTGCAAAAGTAATATATTTGATATGTTATTCTATTTTGCATTCTAATATGTAAAAAATAAGATATTTAATATATTATTCTATTTTATATTTTAATGCAAAAAATACTATTTTAAATGCTATATTTCTTTTTTGTCATAAATATTAAACTTTAGAATTTGAAAAGCACAATTTAATATTAATATCAATTAATCAACCAATAGTAATTAAATATAGATAAATGAGGACAACTCAATTGGTAGTAAATCTCTCCACTCTAATTATAAGTGGTTGTATTTTTCCCTCCTTTTTATATAATATATAAAAAAAAGTAACTAAATACTAACATATTCGTTTGTATTATTGAGTTACTTTTTTTTTTTTTTTTGTTCTACACGGATGTTAAATTTGACACTAATACGTTATCTATTTCAAGCTCCTAGCAGATTATGGGGTTAAAAATGTTCAAACTGAGGTGACAATCAATTCAACATTGTGACGCAAGCTCACACGTAATCATGTACATGATCTATCACGATGGGCAACTTTTCCCCGTCAATTACGAGACATGGCAGACAAAAATTCAAACGATAAGAAGAATATTGTTTCCCTCATAAAGCTAAATAGTAAATAATAATAAATATGGTTATGCAATTACTTCACAATATAACAATATTGTGATTAAGTTACCACGTTACAGACTTTTAGAGTCATGTTTTTCCTTTTCTTTTATTACTGGTGTAATTCCACGTGCGATGCTCTAGATATTAAATTTTAATTATCATATTATTAAACATATAAAATTTAAATATAAATCTCAAAAAAGAAAAAATTAAAATTTCAGAAGAAAAAAGGGGACAAAAAAACAACTAAAATGAAAAAATAAATTAATTTCAGGGCAAATTTTTACAATAAAGTCAAAAAAAATGATCAAAATAAAGAAATATAAGACCAAAACGGATAAGAAATAAAGTTATGGGGAAAAATTAAAAAAAATAAAGTTTTAGGGGAAAATAAAAAAGATAAAAAAAGGCTACTAGAATAAATAAGTTTTAGGATAACACCGGAAAGAATATCTAAGTAGAAAAATATAATTTTTTTTGGAGAAAAAAGTAAAAGGAGCTAAAAGGAAAAAAAAAAAAAAACCATGGGGAGCAAAAAAAAAAAAAAAAAAAAAACCAGGGGGAGAAAAAAAAAAAAAAAAAAAAAACTATTCATTACTGTTCATGTTTTCAACTAAAATGTCAGTGTTTTGGTTGAAAAATGCGTGCCACAAGTGTTATTATTACCGTGTTATTAAGCACATAAAATTTGAATATAAAATCTCAAAAAGAGAAAAATGAAAAGAAAAAGTTTTAGAAAAATAAAAAGGGGTAAAAAAGAATTAGAATGAAGAAATAAATGAGTTTTAGAACAAAAATGACCAAAATAAAAAAATAAAATTTTAGGGTAAAAAAATGAACCAAAATAAAGAAATATAAGACCAAAGCGAAAAAGATACAAAATTTTTGAGAGAAAAAAAAATAAAGTTTTAAGAGAAAAAAAAAAACCACCAAATAAATAAACTTTAGAGGACCACCACAAAAGGAGAGAAAAAAAAAAGTTCACCTTTAGATCAAAGCATGCAAAGCGGCGTGAACAGGAAACCGGATTCCGCTTTCTTATATATAGATTATTAATCTCATAACTAACCCATGATGCGTATATATGGAAGTACCTGAGAGATCGACAGGGAAATGACCGTTTTGTTTGAGCAGCTCAAAATGATAGATCACCGAGAATACAGACGTAGACATAGGCCAAAGTGAAGCCACCGGAATATTCCTTCGGTTTCCGACATCATAGGCCCAAAGGAGGTTGCTATCCGCTACGATGGCAATCACCGGAATCTCCACGCGGTCGAGGAGCTCCTCAAAGGGAGCTTCCATCTTCGTAAAGACAGCTTCCACGAACGCCGGCAAGTCCTTTGCGCGATCGTGTTCGGAGGGTACGACGTTGGGGATTGTGGCGAAGCGGATGTTGTCGGGCATTGTCGGATCCCGTGGCCCGATCAGGCCGAGCCACTCTTCGGTGACGACGAAGGTGATGAGGATGTTGTTTGGCTTCCGGGAAGCAATCTGCTCGCAGATGTTCATCATTGGGTTGATGTGCCCTCTCCCGGGGTAGGGTACCGCCACAACGTGGCAGCGATTGGTGGCCGGTGGCTCCATTTTCGGGGGAGTGTGACGGGTTGGGGGATTTCTCAAGTATATCAATAGAATATATACAGAGACAACGTGCTTGACTAGTTTAATGAAAAAGTAGACATAAGGACAATTTTTAGGATGACTTTTTTTTGTAAGTAGGACCTCCAAATTACATCACTTATCCCACTTTAAAGTTTGGGAGCATGCTGGAATAAGTTGACGAAAAATGTTGTAAGTCGACGGCGGTATATCCCCACTCTCTCATAGAGAGTGGATTCCATTTGTAGGATCTACGTGAGACCCACTTATGTGGCTTTTTTTTTTTTTTTTTTTTTTTTTTAATGAGAGACTTATAATTTAATCTTATCGGGATAAATAGGATTATTTTGAGTAGAAATAAGCATTTATTTTTATTTTTATGAGAATAGTCAAAGTATAGAAATACAATCTTAGAAAGTTTGGAATTAAGTTGGACTAAAATTTAGAGTAGTGTTGAGTGTGTGAAGCTTAATTATTTTTTGTGAGAGTTAGTATGCCGATTGATCTTATAAGAATTGGGGTGAAAACTCCTCTTTTGAGGGTGTTGGGGATTTTACACAAGTACTTTCGATTGCCCTAATTTTACTTATATTAGATGTTAAAGAGAAAACCATACGAAGAGTCTGAAAGGTGTGTGATATTTTATTTCTTATAATCTTTTACAGAGATTGAAAGTAGAAATAACTTTCATATTAAAATCAGTACTATCTTTATTACTACGTATTTGTAGTATAAAATTAGAGTGCATCTAATATTAATAGGCGGCTCTCTCTTCTACTATCTATTAGTTGAGGAACGTGTTATGCACGTAAAGAATAACTTTATGAGTTATATCCTACATCAAATCACGTAACTTTTTTAAGCGTTCATTTCGCCGATTCGAGTTTAGAATTTGAGTTTTACTGCAGTAAAAAGCTCTCAAAAACAGTCATATCTAACTTTTTTGCTGCAGTAAAAAGCTTTCACATAAAGTCACATCTCAACTCGAATTAAAAACTCAAATCAACGAACTAAACAGCCCTTTAGAAACTAAGTCCATTAATTGCAACAAGAGGAAAAAAATTTCAAAAAATCACATAAAAAAAGAATCAAAGTTAAATAAGAGTTTTGACCAAAAAAATCTTAAGTGAGGAGATATTTGAAAATAATTGTTTTCATAAAAAGAAAGTGAAAAAAAGAAAGTATTTCAAAAAAGAGATATTGTAAAAAAAATAAATTATGAAAGAATATTGAGGAAAAAACTAAAAAAAAAAAAAGGACAATAGCATGCAATAGGCAAAAAGAAAAGAGGAAAAAAATTTTAAAAAAAAAAAAAAAAAAATAATTTGTATAGAGTTCTAAGTAAAAAAAAAAAAAAAAAAAACAAGAAACGTGAAGAAAAAGGGGAAAAAAAAAAAAAAAAAAAACCCTAAACATGAAGGAATAAATTAGAGGTTGACACAGCCAAAAAAGAAACACACTCTTTAATTCTTTTATGTATTATTAGGACGTTTATTTTGTTGTCAATTTGTGGCAAGTGGGTGAATTCAAAACAACAAAAAAAGTTCATGGAATACAGGTTGAAGATTTCGTTGGTTGCAGATTAAGCCGTGTGGAAGAGTTTGAAATTCAAGAGTACATAGCGAGATAAAATCTGGTTGAAAAATTTTAAAAAGGTGCAGCGGCAGATTATATGAGCTTTTGAAGTTTGAATTGTCAAGATATTATTCAGGTTGTTGAAGATAAACCTGGTATCCAGTTGAAAACGTGAACCAATTTTTGGAAGCAGATTTGAGAATCTAATATATCCACGCTATATTGATGAATGAAGTTTGATTCGGATTTGAATTTCAAAGGTGGTAAGTTATTAAACTTTATCTATAAGTTTATCTTTTGGCGTTTTTCAAAGGAGGTAAAACGTGTTGATATAGAGCATTTGAGATAAATAATGCCTTCTATTCAAGTTTGACTTGAAATCGTGGATTAGACAGAAAGAGATAATTTGGTCTCAAAGCCATTCATCCTGTGGGCTTCCGTTTTCACGCATAATGTTTTGAAAAGTTTGAATTAATAACCTTCTCAAGTGTTGGAAGTTTCAATTAATAACCTTCCAAGTGTTGAAGGGATTTCAACAAATTATCATTCTTTGTGAAAAGAAATAGTTATCTTTAGGAGAAGGTGTATACAGTGTTGAAGGGTGTTCAACCATTCATCGTTCTGCAGCTTTCGGGAGAGAGACCAGCCAGATGAATAGATTTCGTCTTACAATTTTAAAGACAAATGATGCTTACTGAATCAGGCCATCTAGTTGATTCTACATGGTGGCAACAAATTCAAAAGAGTTTTTATTTATATAAATCCGATTGGAGTGTAATCGTTAAGAATTAATAAGTGATTTAATATTTGAGCGTGACCCGTTACTAAAACTCTGTTGCGCCAAAGCCTACTATAGTACAATACTTGCACATTAAATGCGCATAACCAAACTGCTCATTTAATATCTTTGACGAAAGACCAGCTTTGTATATCGGTAGCAACTAATAACATATAAAGTATTAAAGGTTATGGTGGAGTTAATTATGCGGTGATCACATTAGATCTAGAGGAGTTTCTACTGACTACTCTGCACCAGAAAGAAGAAAGCAATATATTTCCAAAAAAGAAAAAAGAATAGAGAGGTTGATCATATATATTGAAAACTAGAAAAAAGAAAATGACAATGTGAAGAAATTTAGTGCATATATATTGTAACATACATAGATGATCTGTTACTCGCACGTCCTTTCCATTTCTTCTTACTTATTCTAGTACACGATTCTTCTGCATGGTTATATGGCAACATACATATGGAAGAAGAAATTTTCCTCTACGGTCATCCAATATACTCAAGGTTTATTCGCATTCTGATATAAATCATTCAGAAAGGCCTCAATATGTGCATCAGAAGAACCTCCTTTGCCAACCGCTCGCCGGCAAGTATCCCTCAATTCACAAGCTCTCCTCCTCATATCCCTCACCTCCTCTTCTTTCTCCACATCCATAAACCTCTTCACAATCCCCGCAATCTCCTGTCTCCCCACCAAAACCTCCTCATCTCCGAATCCTCTCTTCACCTTCCACCCCATCTTCCAATCCTCAACCACCATCTTGCTGTTGGTCACCTGGTCCCAATAGATGGGGAAATTCAGCATCGGAACCCCGGCAAAAGCAGCCTCCGACGTCGAGTTCCACCCGCAGTGTGACCAAAACCCGCCTATGGAAGGATGGCACAACACCCTCAACTGGTCACACCAAGGAACCACCATTCCATTCCCGCCACCACAATTCTCTCTCAAACGAGAATGCTCCTCTCTTCCCACCCAGAAGTACCGGACCCTGCTGTCCCTTAGCCCCGAGGCGATCTCCTCCATCTGCGCTTTTGACGTCGAGAAGAGGCTTCCCTGCGAGGCGTACAAGACGGAGCCTCTAGGTTGCTTATCAAGCCACTCTAAATGGTCAGCATGAGAAGTATTTCTAGAGGAGTAATTTGGTGAGTCGAGTTTGTAGTATGGGATGTTGGGGCCAATGTGGTAAACAGGGAAGGGGCTTAGTTTTGTGGTTAAGGCATCGATGACTTGTTGTTCTAGCTGGTAGGGAGAAGCTAAGAGGAGATATTGAGCTTTGGTCTCCGTTGTGGAAATCGATTCAAGGGCTTTGTTGAGTATCTGATTGCCTTTGCCGTACAGGCAAGTTGGGAGGTCTGCTATGCGCGTTGGAGGGAGTCCTGGGATGTAGTCCACAAGCTCGTTTCCCATGGCTGCATGTCATGAATTGCGTATATATGAAGATTATACATTTATGGATAAAGAAATTGGTGCCATGTGGTATTGAATAATTGTTGAAGAGAATTAGAAAGAGATTAATGGAAGTCTTATAAAATCCGAGAGCCTGAAAAGCGTGAAAACGACGATTGCAAAATTAGTACATGCGGAACGACAACAAAATATTGAAATGGAGAAATGCATTGGATAATTACTATTTCAAAAAGCGATAAAAAAAAAATTAAAGATGAGACGTAGTCACCATAATATGAGAAACGACTGAAAATTTCCAAAAGTCAGAGAAAAGAAAAAGAAAGCTTGAAACGACAGAAAGCAACAATGATATTGTTGTTTTCGTGAAGAAACGACAAAGTAAAGAAGAGGACAAGGCCAAAAAAATGAAACAATAATAATATAAACGACATGTATAGGAAGAAACAACAACGAAATTCAAAACATGAGAGCGGAGCACGCGAGCAAACAAAAAAATTGGAAACGCCTAGGAGCTAAAAAACGACAAGGAATATTAAAAACAACTACAGCGTGAAAAACGACAACCACCTTAGAAACGACAAAGAAAAGCAAAAACAACTACATAACAAAGACGACAAAAAGAGAGATTATTCAAAAATTAAAAACGACAATAAAATTCAAAACGACATAAAGTTTGTTAACGACAACAATAGTTTAGAAGCACATAAAAGCGAACTACCACATTGAAAACGACATCAACAAGTAAAAGAAAACTTTTCATTTGGTCACCGGGGGTTTCGGGTCTTCAATATCATACATGGCTTAAAATTGCTGGCCATTTTCCAAAAAAAAAAAATAACAAAGGAAAATTGCCGGCCAATATCTACCAAAAAAAAAAAAAAAATTACCGGCCACTTTTCCAAACAAAAAAAGGAAGTAAAAACAAACAAAGGAATTGCATCATCTTAAACCCAACAAAATTCCGATAAAGCTAAAAAGTAACTCGACAAAACATATAAGAAAAAGACAAACAATACACGTGGAATTCAATATTCACCGACTTTAATTACTAGTACCAACCCTTAAGGTCAACCGGGAAATGCCGGTTCCGAACGAGGAGATCAAAGTGACGGAACACCGAGTACACCGTCGCCGACGACGTCCATAGCGATGCCACCGGAATATTCCTCCAAGTCCCGACGTCCGCCGACCAAACCAAGTAAGTATCGGCGACAATGGCGTTCGCCGGCGTGTCGAGCCGGTCGAGGAGATCCTCGAGCGGAGCCCTCATGTTCCTCAGAACTGCCTCGTAGAAGGCCGGCTGGTCGGCGCCACGGCCGCTCTCGGAGGGGATCACGTTCGGAATCTTCGCGAAGCGGATGTTGTCGGGTTTGGGATCCGACCCGATGAACCCGAACCATTCCTCGGTGACGACGAAGGTGACGAGCAAATCCTGCCTTCGCAGAGCGAGAAATTCGCAGAGGCACATCATGGGGTTGATGTGGCCTCGGCCGGGGAACGGCACCGCCATCACGTGGCAGGAGACGGTTGGGCTGTTCTTTGGGCGGTCCATTTTCTTGAGTGTCGTTTGGAGCGGAAAGAACTAGGAGAGACTAAAGAGAGACGTACGCCGACCGTCTACTGAGTACTGATGGTTCAGATAGCCCGACAGTGATGTTTGCTGTGTTTGGAATTTTTTTATTTTTTTACGTTTTTTGACAAAAAAAAATAAAAAACGATTTTAAAATAACCTTTAGTATAATTAAAGATAAAAAATAAAAATAAAAATGATATTTTAATTTAGTGTAAAATAAAAAATAATTTTTAATGTTTTTTATTTTTTATTTTTATTTTTTTTAAGTATAGATAAATATTAATAAGTTTTTTATATTAAAAATAATCTCTTAATAAAATTATAATACATATTTTTAAAAATAATTTCTCTTCAAAATTAAAAATATTTTTATTTTTATTTTTATATAAAAAATAAAATTATTTTGAAACAAGTTGTTAGTATAATAGTTTTATGTCTTGTACTAATTAGAAGTGCGCAAGTTTTCTTTATGAACGAAAACACTCTTATCGGTTTGGACATTTCTACATCTTGTTTGTCATTTCGCCTATCTAATTTTTTTTTTCTAACTAATTGGAAATAGAAAATTTTTTGCTTTTCTGAATTAGGTCCTAAATAAGACTCCAAAAACACCACTTTAATAGTACAAAAAAATAATAACTATATGTTAAAACTTAAAAGTGATGAAAAGTCTAATTTACACACGTGTCAATGTCCTTGACTCGCTGCTGTTGTTGTTTAGTTTATGTAATATTAGAAATACCAACTCAAATTTCAATTGTTATGTGTTAACTGAGATGATACGTAGGTTGTATATTTTTTTATTAATAGACTTAAAAGACGTTTGGTTCATGGATTAGAATCATTTTTGATTTACGTGTATTTTTTGTGAGAGAAAATGATACGTGGGAAGTTTTGAACTTGGAGGAAGATTAGATTCAGAAGAGGATAAACAAATGAGTTGGGTCTCAGGCCCCAGAAGCCTCTTGGGCTGCTGAAACATCTCAGGCCCAGACCCAAGATAACCCTTTTCCAGCTGAAGCTTGGCATGCTGGATCAGAAGGAAAGTTCCAGAAAACTCAAGAAGAAGAGGAGGGCGCAACGCGTGAGAGAAGGATGCGCAAGAGGCCAAGCTGGTTTGAGGATTTCGAGATGGGGAAAAACCGTTGAGAAGTGCGGAGCACCAGGGTCAGGGGAAGGATTGGCCTCAGCTGGGTTCTTTAGCAAATTGTTATTGTTGTCTCTTAATTCAATAATCTGTTAGAGTGGTATTCTGGGGAAATGGGAATCGAGTATAAAGGGAACCAGTGTTCTTATGGGAAATCATCATGTAATTTGTGGGAACCTTTCTGTAGGAGTTTGGCACTGACTCAAAGAGTGCAATATTCAATACATGGAGTCCAAGGTTAAGCAGCATATGCTGAAGGAGTATCATGATACGCCGGTAGGCGGGCATTAAACGGACATACATCCGACTCAGCGCTAATTTTTACTGGCCGGGCATGCGAAAGGATGTCAAAGATTATGTGGGGAAGTACGTCATCTGTCAAACTGTGAAATATTCCACTTCAGCCTTCTATGGACTCCTACAACCGTTGAAGATGCTCGACAGAGTATGGGAAGACCTAGTGATGGACTTCATTGTTGGGCTGCCAATCTCGAAAGGGAACACTTCCGTTTTCGTGGTTGTTGATAGACTAACGAAATACGCTCACTTTGGAGCACTGGCCTCCAACTATACAGCTTCCAAGGTCGCCGAGCTCTTTACTAGAATGGTGATTAAGTTATATGGAGTGTCGCGGACGCTGGTTTCAGACAGGGACCCAATCTTCACAAGCAAATTTTGGTCCAAGTTATTTGAGCTGATGGGCACCCGGTTGAAGATGAGCTCAGCCTACCATCCTCAAACGGACGGGCAAACTGAAGTCTTGAACCGATATCTGGAACAATGCCTGCGCGCCTTCGCTGCCGACAACCCGAAGCAGTGATCCACCTTCTTGGGGTGGGCAGAGTATCATTACAACACAAGTCACCAAACAACCATTAGGATGTCACCATTCCAGGCCGTGTACGGAAAGACGACCTCCTACTATTCCAACATACACTAGGGGATCCTCAACCGTTCAGGCCATGGACGATTACCTACGTACCTGGGACGACATCCTTCACCGTTTGAAGGTCAATTTGCACCATGCTCACAATAGGATGTAGCAGCTCACCAATAAGAAAAGGCAGGAGAAGCAATTCAACCTTGGGGACCTTGTCTTGGTTAAACTCCAGCCCTATCGTCAGACAACAGTGGCTCGGCGTTTAAACTCGAAGTTGAGCAGACGATATTTCGGTCTATTCAAAATCATTGCTAAGGCTGGACCGGTGGCTTACACTTTAGCATTACGCCGGAAAGCAAAATTCACCATATCTTTCATGTCTCTCTGTTAAAGGAGTTCAGGAGCGATGGATCCACAGTTTCCTTTCCCATACCAGAGCAGAGCCATGCCAACAGGCCCCTGATTTATCCCACGGCCATCGTGGCAGCTCGTGACGTACAGCAGCATGGAAGATCCATCAAGCAGGTATTAGTCTAGTGGTCGCACAGTCTCCAGGAGGATGCCACCTAGGAGGAGCTGGAGCCTTTCAGTCGGCTCTATGACTTGCCTGACCTTGAGGACAAGGTCAAAGTTGATGGGGTGGGAAGTGATACGTGGGAAGTTTTGAACTTAGAGGAAGATTGGATTCAGAAGAGGATAAATAAATGGGTTGGGTCTCAGGCCCCAGAAGACTCTTGGGCTGCTGAAACATCTCAGGCCCAGGCCTAAGATAACCCTTCTCCAGTTGAAGCTCGGCATGCTGGATCAGAAGGAAAGTTCCAGAAAACTCAAGAAGAAGAGAAGGGCGCAACGCGTGAGAGAAGGACGCGCAAGAGGCCAAGCTGGTTTGAGGATTTCGAGATGGGGAAAAACCGTTGAAAAGTGCAGAGCACCAGGGTCGGGGGAAGGATTGGCCTCAGCTGGGTTCGTTAGCAAATTGTTATTGTTGTCTCTTAATTCAATAATCTGTTAGAGTGGTATTCTAGGGAAATGGGAATCGAGTATAAAGGGAACCAGTGTTCTTATGGGAAATCATCATGTAATTTGTGGGAACCTTTCTGTAGGAGTTTGGCACTGACTTAAAGAGTGCAATATTCAATACAAACCGTGTACGTTTGTATCAGAAAACATTGTAGCGAACCATAATTCAAATCATGGTTTGAATCCTCAAACCAAACATCCCCTTAATTTATTATCACTAATTCATGTTAATGTTTTAAATATTAATTAATATAAAAATGACAATTTATATGTCACATTAATTGATACATAAAGAATTAAAATTTAAATTGATATTGCTAGTATTATTCTTAGTTTATTATTATTATTTTTTTTAAAATAAGCAAAATCAGTTTTAAAATTTTATTAATTTGTTTGTATTTAAACGTTTGTATCGATTACCCTTTTCTCTTGTTCTTGGTTGAAGTTGAATGTTTTTTTTTTTCGATAGTTAGAAGTTGAATGTTGTTAATAACATTGCATGTACTTTTGAGAGGATGAATTTCTTAGGCCTCGTTCACTTCGCGGATTCGAGTTTTCGATTCGAGCTGAGATGTGACATTTTCTGAGAGCTTTTTACTGTAGCAGAAAATTTTGATGTGACATTTTCTGAGAGCTTTTTACTGTAGAAACCTAAAACTAAAAACTCGAATCGGTGAAGTGAACGAGGCCTTAAACTCATGTAAGTTTCGTCTGTATAGCAATTGGGTATACAGAGGCCCAACTATTCTTAACTAAACGTATAGAATGCTTCTTGCAGAAGAAAATTACATAGTTTACCATAGTTTTACATAATATCCGTGCAATTTTAAATAACTATCATTATGTTTTTTATTTTTTTATTAGTTAAATAATAATTATTTATTTTTAAATAAAGTGATATAAATAAATATTTTATTAACATCTTTAGTGGTAATGTGGTATTTCTGGTTTTTTTGCTTTTTGCATATTGAAGCAATCAAAGCATTCACAATCACAATAGAAAATTAGGGGGATGCCATGGTTTTTTGTGGTAGATAATTTATGCCATGGATAAAGAAACTTGTGGAATTTCTTATGATGTTTTTTCATATATCCATACATCTATACATATCTATAAGTTTCGAAAAGGGGACTGTAGCACGGATACAGTAATAATCAAAACGGACGCTTTTATGGTTTTTTTTTTTTTTAACTTTTTTCCGTATTCTGTTATTTCTTTTATTTTCTTCCCTAAAATTTATATTTTTCGTTCTTGCACTTCTTTTTAACTTTTTTTCTTTCACTTATTTCGATTATTATTTTTTTTCAATGTTACCATACTTAGATACTTCTCTTCGGTAGTCCTCTAAAATATTGTTATACTAAAAGTTATTCTCACAAATTTTTTCTAATTGTCCCACCAAAATAAAATTCTACAAATATGGCCCTACTTAAATTTCTTTCATACCCTTCTTGACCACTATCTTTTCATAGGTATCATTTTTCTAATTTACTCACAGTGCATTATTTTTCTCTTCGGTAGTCCTCTAAAATATTGTTATACTAAAAGTTATTCTCACAAATTTTTTCTAATTGTCCCACCAAAATAAAATTCTACAAATATGGCCATACTTAAATTTCTTTCGTAGCCTTCTTAACCACTATCTTTTCATAGATATCATTTTTCTAATTTGCTCATAGTGCATTTTTTTTTTTCATAATGTGTCCTTACTTATCAATTTTTTTAGTCCTTCAAAATATTACTATATCAAAAGTGATTCTCAAAATATTTTTTTTTGTTGCTCATTAAAATATTTTCGAGAAAACCTCACTTAAACAATTTTTCTCCTAACGAATAGAAGTGTAAAACACTGATACTTGTACAACGCTTTAGACCACAACGACTCATTTTGCTCAAAAGTGGTTTTTTTAATCCCTCCTTCATCTTTTATTTCTTTTTTGATCCCTCCTTACTTTTCCATTTTCTCTTTGAGTCCTTCCTCTCTTTTATTTTTCATTTTTAATTCTCCCTTCTTATTTTCTTTCATTTCTTTTTTCCCCCTAACATCTTATATAGTTTTAAAAACACTTCATTAAACTATTTTTTAAAATCTATCTCATTGTGACGATGTTGGTGCCACCTAAATATTTTTTTATATACTCCTCTAACATTACTACAACAGTAGTGACCTTGTAAATATTTTGCCCGCTAGAGTATTTTCTTTTAAATATGTCCTTAATCTAACTTCTTTCTCATACATCTTTCTTAATTTATTTTTCTCAAATGTATTCCTATCTTTAAATCTCTTTTCTCTTCTTTTATCAAATATTATTTTTTTCAAATGTATTTTATAAATATTTTATTGTCTAACTTTATCTTATTAATTTTTTCTTTAAATCTACTCTACTTAAATACGTTATAATGTTCAATTCCAACTAGTACATATCTATAGCGAGAGAGACTGTGTGAATCAAAATAACTACAATACAACTGATTAGTTTTTTTTTGGGCTCTATTTCTCTATCCATCCTATCTGTCTTTTTCTTTTTCCTTTTTTTCTCTCTCTTACTTCAATTTGTCGCGCTAACCCATCTTGTCGTCGCTATCGCTGACTTGCTCCCTCTACCCTTGTCTGAATGACATCTGTTCGTGGGAAGTTAGCGCATGAAGAGATCTCAAATCTCTACGCAATATCTCTATTGGAGATCTTATTGCGGAGGAGATAAATCTCCATGTTGGAGATCTTAGCATAAAGGAGATAGATCCCTTCCAAGCTGAGCAGTATCTGACTTTCTGTCTATTCTGTTTATTAAACATGTTAACTGCATATTACCCATTTAACTTGATATATAAATTTAATGATTAGTATAAGTGCGACTTATTTAACACGATCATACAGTTTAATATAGTTCATATTCTTTATACTCAATATATAATATAAATCTTTTTATAATATCATATATAATTTATCGTTTAATTTGAGTAACTCACTAGAAAGGTCAAACCGAACCAGACCTATTTATTAATTGTGTTAATTTTGTTAATCTAATTATGATTCAAACTCATATACGGTGACTCGTTTATTAATCATATTGTGTCATGATCTGAATTGTCTATTAGAATCCCACATTGGCTGGAGATATTGGCATGATCCCCTTAATAAGGTGATGGCAATCCTCCCCTAACAAGCCGATTTTGTTAGGTTGAGTTAGGCCCAATATCCTTTGATTTCTATAAAATAGTATCGGAGCAGGCCCAGTTTTGCAATGTTAGGTCCCCCAATATCGACTTATTCACAGCGGTTTGGCATGGTCCACGCTGTGCGTGAGGGGGCGTATTAGAATCCCACATTATATTGGCATGATCCACTTAATAAGGTGAGGGCAATCATCCCCTAGCAAGCCGGTTTTGTTAAGTTGAGTTAGGCCCAATATCCTTTGATTTTTGTAAAATTATCACCTCCAGTAACGACTTCAGAATTTTATTTCAGTGGGGACATGGCCTCTATATAAATCCGTCCTTTCACCTCTAAATTTAGAGGGAAATCTAAGCTACATTCTCACATCTTGCACAACAAAGCTTGGGAAACATCCAACATACTTCGCAAACGCATTCTACGTTGGCTATAATTGTCGCTAAAGCCGTGCCAACCATTTTTCTCAAAGACAAAGGCATGAGTCGGTATCTCGATTTTATGCCCCTGCCATCGTCGTCCTAGCAAAATGATCTCTTACGTCGACGGCCTCCAATTTTGTTTTTGTGATTTTTATAGTTATTCTTATTTTATTTCATGTGAGATATATATATATATATATATATATATATATTTTAAATCTTCTGGTAGGTAGGCGATTGTTGATCGTCAAAATATTGGAATCACAAGTAAGATAATAATAGCTTTCAACCGGCAACCATAAAGCATCAAGGGAAGATATTCCTATCTTCAACTGGAAATTGCAATGTATCACAGTAGGATATCGATAGTCATAGGCCAGTTATCAAAATGTTTAGTGATCACAACATATACCTTTAAATATTACAATAAAATACATGTTGACAGTGGAATTTTATCAACAAGATTACGTCAGATTACCTCTCGGTAGTCCGTTAGGTTACCGGCCAAAACTAGTTATATTCTCGGATTTATGCAACTGATTGTGTTCATTTTTTAGGTATATTGAAAGATGTATCGATTTGTTGTTGAAAATGAAAGTAGAAAGACAAGCGGGTTTATAATGGTTTACTATATCAAAAATGAGCTACATCCACTGCTTATTTTATTTTTCTTTGTTCTTCAAAGGTTACAAAAAGACTCTCTCTTTCACTCTGGGGCTTTGCCCCTTTTATAGCCTACAAATTACATATAGGTATCTTTGAGTCGGACCGTCTCAGGGGATTTTCTGATAGTTTTTCTCAAGTAGCCTATTATCCTACCTGCTTAGACCGTAGCCTCTCAGCACCTTTTGGACTGTTCACTCACCTACTTTGTCCATTATTGTGGCTATGCGGATCCTCTGTGATTTCCATTGGTCCGTTCTATGCGGTTTATGGGCAGATAATCATTTTCTGTGCTACTGACCTTCTCCAAACCCATACGTAACCTAGGAATTTCTCCCTTGTCACCTCAGAGGTCTTTTTTGGGATGTGGACCCATACTCATGCGTTTTGCCCTCTGCGCCTACACTATACTTCACAGGGCGCGGCCTCTGTCTCGGTCGACCCCATCACGGTACCGCTCCTGCTGCGAACAAATCATGCATGCCTTGACTGTATGTAGGGTCTCATGAATCGTCTCATACGATTGGCCTTTTCACCAGATGATGGAGGGAGAAATGAGTTTTAGGCGTCGACAACTATCTAACGTGGCAAGTTTAGGGCCACGTGGAGCATGGTCGTCATCCGACATATCAACACATATTTTCTCACACAACAATACCAACCGTCAACAGTGACTACTATTACAAATATATCTAACATTTGATGTGGTGAAATAATATTCTCTACAGGACTTGCATAAATTTAAGGCATTCCTCCTAAGAGCCAATTCACAAGCAGTCGCTTTCTTGTGGGCCTAGGAAAAAGTTTCATTTCAGGCCCACACCGGATGAGCGTCCACTAGAATGTCCTGAACCGTCCCATTCTTGTCTTGGACCACTTGTAAAATATCTACTGCCGAATCGGCAATCGAAAAACTCGTAAATTTTACCAAATCTGGAACTCTTACTGCCAAATAGTTGTCATGGTTCGTCGCTTGGGTTGAACGTTTGGAATGGATTTGGCAAAGTAGGCACTAATGTAATGTTCATTGATATTTATTTATACGGCTCGTAGGTTAAGATTAAGTGAGAACTATTAGAGGTCATTTGATGAACAGTTCCTAATGTTTTGAACCAACATTTGGTAAAAATTTTTGAAACACGGTTCAAATTAACGATTTGATGTTTTTTAAAGAGAAAAGAAAACATAGGAATTTTGAGTCCATCTCCCATTGTTTCGAATAAAAAATTTAAACCACATGTTTTAAACTTTCTATTTTAAATTACACCATTAAGTTTTAACCTATTTACCAACAGGCCTAAAATATCAATTCCGACCAGTGAACCGAGGGTCACGTCCTTAAGTAATATAATAAATGCCAAGAACTAATCTTTCGTACTTTATATTATAGTTGACAACATCTTTGGCATATGATTAAACAAAACACAGTAGTGTGATACTGTGATTCATGAGGACGTCAATACACGCATAAATTAATGTGTTGGCTCATCACCAATTTAATTTGTGTTTGATGTAAATTAATTAAGGCCTAACTCTGCATCAGTACTATAGCACATGCAGCAATTAATGTCTCTCTGCTGCATCTAGCTACCGTTCTCAAAAAGTAATTGGTTGATTAAAAAGTATAATACCTTATTTAAACTTGAAAGTGCTTATTATGTATGTGGCTAAAGAATATAGGTTGACTCAGAGAGTGAGGAAGTCGGTACCATTGGTGAATATCGATCATGTTATATGATCAGCATCCTGATATAATATCTAGCAGAGTTTCAGCTGAGTACAGAAAATGACACTATACAATATAAAGAGGCCCATAAACGAAAAGAACAATGATGATGATGAGTGAGGACCACAAGACATATAGACAAATATTGTGGCCTGTTTATTCCATATTGCATGATTTAGCAATTGGTTGAAAGTTGACCGTTAGATTACTCATGATGCAACTTACATGTGAACCTATCGATGATTTTCATGTCACAACTTACATGTGATCTTTCGAGTAGAATTGAATAAGATCTTTTTTTTATTCTATTGATGGACCCTGAGATTTTCAAAATAATAAAGTGGATCACATCAACGATTCTTTTTTTATTCGGAGAAAAAAAAAAAAAAAAAAAAAAAAAAAAAAAATTTTTTTTTTTTTTGGGAAAAAAAAAAAAAAAAAAAAAAAAAAAAAAAAACTTACATGTGAGTGTCACTGTGCGACTCCACAATACTGCACAATATTGCCATAGAAAGGCCACGCCGTAGTATATATGAACAAGAGAGGCAATAATTCAAGAATGGACCTTCAAGTCTCACGACAAACACAATTCCATAACAAGTGCTCAGAATAAAAAACAATTTTTTTTTTAAAAAAAATTGGAGGGTTTCTCATATTGTTGATATCTTTTTTTTTTTTTTTTTTTTTTTTTTTTTTTTTTTTTTTTTTTTTACTAATCTCTTTTCCACAAAGTGTCTGTCGTTGTTAGCAGCTAGAGATATTTTTCATCAGAACACATATATTGCAAATTAGAAAAGTCGACGTACGGTCGGTGGAGAATGAGATATTTTGAGAGATATTTCTCATTATCCAATTTTAAGAAAATATCTATCCATCTTCTCATGAAACTCTCTTCACAAAACGACCCTGCAAAAACCAACCAAAGTAGTGGCATACATATTAATTTGAATTCCAAATTTAAATAATAATAGATAGCTAGAGAGAAATAATTATGAGATATCAGAAGTGGACAAGGGCCAAAAGAGAAAATAAAAACCTTGAGTCTTGGTCTTTTATCTGCATTGAGTTTGCGAACTTGATATCTTATCTTCTTCGAGAATAATCTAGTTTGGCGCTTCTCCTTGTACCTCAGAACACTTGCTTCCCTTCTTGTTTTCTCCTCTTCCATTACCGGCACCTCTCCCATCTGATGATCATTAAAAATACATAATAATTAATTAATTAATGATTCTACATGTTATTACTATAAGAAAGTTAATTAAAGAAAAAAATCAACCAACAATTAATGTCGCCGAGTGTGCGTTAAACATATGCTACACCTCGTGCTATTTTAAAATGCAAAAAGAAGGTGGCTGCAAGTATAATCTAACGGTAATTCCACATCATACTCTAATAGAAAATGTAGAGTTTGAATCCCTCCATCCCAAAATTAAAAAAAAAATGAAAAAAAAAACTAATTAAGAACTAAATATGTATATATATGTATGTGTTATGGAAGTACTGCATGACTACACTAGAGTACTATTCTTCAACAATTGGGAAGCACATGTGTAGAAGGAACTAACTAATAAGGAGAATATAATTAAGCTAACAATATACTAACATAATTACAGCCATTTGTTGCCATTGAAAGAGAATAATCATCCGCCCGAAGAGAACCACGATTAGACCAAGCATCCAAAACCTCTTGATAATTCAAATTCAGATTCAGTGAAACTCTCCTATAATCATCATCCCAAAATCCAACGTGCTCTTTCTTTACGTTAATAATTCCATTGTTGCTGTTATAGTAGCCTTCTTCTTCAAAGAAGCACTTTGTTATTTCCTTGTCAAATAGCTTCATGTCTCTCTCATCTTCTTCTTCTTCCTCCTCTTCCTGATACTCTTCGCCGTTGCGAAATTCATCCCAAATATCCGTGAACTCCCAATTGAGTTGACCCACATTAATATTCGTCTTTGTCAGCTTTTCTTCGTCTTCGCTTATGCCCAAAATGCGCTCCAAATCGTCCATAATATCAACCTCCTTATCAGCAACATTTTTGATGCCATTGAAGTGGGAAACTATATTGCTATCTGGGACTTGTTGTTCTTCCTTTTTGGGGCTTTTTAAGAATGAATTCAGACCCATCTTATCGCCGTCTGTGTCTTTCTTTCTCTCTTTCTTTTGCGTACTGAAAATGTACTATGTAATATGTTTATATGCATGGAAGTAATATAAGTAGATGAGTAGAGATATAATGGATATTTTCTTTCTTCCTTTCTTGGCTTTTCAAATTTTATTTATTAATATTTTGCCTGGTCTGTTTTATCCTACGTGGAGCCTTATCCTCTATCTATTGGCCGTTGGTTTATCTACCTTATTGTCATTGGTTGAAAAAATCCAGCTTGGAAAAAGGTGGTGGGGTCCATAAACAACCTTGTTACGTTTTTCTTATCCTGATTCCCCTTAGCTTATTAATTGTCTTTTTGCAAGTTATCTTTGTGTCTCACTGTGTCTTTCGACAAGCTAATATATATATGTACAGATTTGAGGTTTTCTGAATTTTCGCATCATGAACCACGTGATAAAAAGTAATAACAAAGCTGACGGGTTCTTGGCTTACTTTCTCTTCTATTTAATAGATAAAAACAGGGAAATTAAAATGATAGCATTATCAATCTTTGGATTAAGTGACGTATCCTAAATATTTTATTAGATATTTCACATTTAAAATAAATATGAGAGATTTCACATGTTATTTGGTGGGTAAACCATTTCGAAATTTTAGGCAATAAATTTACAAATTTTCATCAAATTTTACATATAAAATTAAAGTGAAAAAAATTTAGTTGGGATGCTTGTCTATCCTTAACTGTACGTGGCTTTACAACCCTGTTTGCATTTTATGCCTTTCTAGTGAGATTTGGTAAGTGAATTGCATGCATGCTTTCATAATTTCTCTTTAATCTCATTGTTTTTTTTATCTGATCTGCTTTATTTGTTTTTATCTAATGACTGACGTAATTAAACTAAAAAAAAAAAAAAAAGGTGAAAAGAATTAACATAAAGTGACGAGAAGTACTATAATTTTGGTTGATCCCTAAAGCCTAAAATAACGTGTGCGTGTGTGTGTACACACACACACACACACACATACATATATACAAATAAAATCAGCACCGTTGATTTTAATGATGATCAACTGTAGTCCTCATTTGAGCAGATATTCTCATAAAGCTACTCGCTATTATTTGAGCAGTAATGATAAACTAAAAACTAGCTAGGAGTGTTAACATCAGATGTAATATCAGATGTACATGTGTATAAATGACAATACACTTCACATTGATTTAGATGGGGCCGTAAACAGGTTGAGAATACAACAAATTAATGGTTAGAAATATGCTTTATATAATCTCAATTTTGGAAGAAGAGTTTGACGTAAACAACAATTTATATTTCAACTAACAATAACAATATAAATATCATACATACTAACTTCAGACTCAAAACTCTCGTGCCATCTTGTTTGACTGGAGTTACATATTATATAGGTATCTATTTATGTAAGAGATCAGAGTGATTATGTCATAATCTTCTTAATTTCAGGAAAGTCGCTGCTTCGGAAAGGCCTTTTTCAACATTAATTTTGTAGAAGCTCACACGTTAAAAGAAATGACAAAACTTAAAAATTTGACTGACTAGGTACTTATAATCAAGAAATTTACTTTTTCCAGGAAAAAAGATCAAGGTGTCTCCTGTAGAATGTGCATTCCTCCCACACATATTGCCCCAACAATAAAAAAGAATGGACAGCTTTTGCCTTCATTCATTTAATTACGGCCCCTTTATTAATTTATCAAATTAATTAATGTAATTGATGTCGTTTTTGTGGGCGTCCCTCACATCTCACGTGAAATTAGGTAAAAGTTCTACAGCCGTATCTTGTTGGTGTCGTCAGTTCTTTTCTAAGGCTAAGTAATTCACTACACTAACACACACATACACACACATAACTAACAGCTACATAACTTTATGGATATACACAAACACCTTTATAAATATATGTTAAATATTATATATTTTCATGTTTTATATGTGTGGTAGGATAAAAATTCCAAATCCTTATCCGAGTATTAGATGGGACTCACGTGTCATAAGTGAGGACATTTAATGATCAGAACAACTTTGTTCTTGTTGCCACATCAAACAAAGGTTGTCCTAGCTGCCACGTCGGACGAAGGTTCTTTTGGGAGCAGAATGTGAGTAAAGCAGAAAATGTATGAAGGCAGTCGATTGCTCCAAGTGATCGAGGGAAACAAGAAGTCGACTGCATCGGCAGTCGTAAGCAGAGATAGCTCGGAGGACGTTGAGGAGGTCGAGTCCACGTGGATTCAGAGAGATACAGGACATGTCCCGGGATTTGTGATTTGTAATTAAAATAAGCATAGTAAGCGGGGATGTAAGTGAGAAAATCTTACTGATTGACAGAAATCCCAACTAATTGAGGATATTATCCCAAAATATGGGGAAAATATCCTAAAATAAAATAAGGGGAATTACAGAGAGTGCAAGGGGGGTATATATGTAGAAAGGACAAGTCCAGAATAAGATTTTGTAATCTCATTCTTCTTAACATAGTGAATTTGTCTCTTTCTCACAGTAGACGTAGCTCTTGAACAAAAGGGTGAATCACTATAAATCTTTATGTTCTTTCTTTCTGATTGTTTTTTGATCTTTTCAAATCGTTTACTGAATCGTTAAAATTACGTTAATCATCTTTAAATTTAAATTAATTCTGTTGACGAATTTCTACTCTCAATCACATGTATTGAGTTAATTGCACCAAGCGATCTTATTAGATTCCTAGATGTTAATTGATGAAAGGTCGGTACGTACGTATAAGGAGATATGCTGAAAACACTATATACGCAGCACCGTGCTGTCCAAAAATTAATTAATTAATATTTATGAAAAATAAAAAGATAATTTTTCTCCGAAAAGTCTAAACCCACCCTATAGCCTAATTAAAGCGTGTTTATGCGCGTATTACAGATGTCTGTTCGTTACATTAAGGTACAAAGGATTTTTTATATATATATGTGATATGTATAATAGGTTAGCCTTCATATATATAATTCTAGAGAAGTAAATGGAAATTAGTTGCCACTTGAGGCGGTTGGGTGTATGAATGTTTGTATTCAGAGTTTAAATTTTAGTAGTTTTATTTTTTAATGAAGTGCGAGCTATAAACCTCACACCGTATTAAAAAAAATAAATGGAAATAGTTAAAACCATTTATTCTCAAAGGAAGGTCATATAGATGGGAATGATCATGAGCGTTTGAGAAAGTATTATATATTGTTGGGAAAGAGAAATCATGAGTTCCTATATAGTCAAAGAGAGCAGCTGCTAAATTAGTAAATCTCTAATAAAATTCTTACCAAACAATATGTATGACGTTTATAACAAGAAAGGGAAATAGCTTTTAAGCGGTAGTTTCTTTGTTCCGCCACCTCCCACATGCAAGGGGTTGACCCGTAAATCCAGATATAACTTTTTTGCTTAAACACATCTTATCCTGACTTCATTTTTCTGCTTTTGAAGCTATTATCACCTAAGGCCACATGCTTCAGTCTTTCCACATAGTAACCCTTATGCATCACGTTTTTAATCAATCAGGGATTCAAGTTCTAACTTTACATGATATTAATGCGTGCCTAACCGAGAAAAATAGGAAAATATATTACTCACATAATGTTAGGTCTCCCCACCTAGCAACCCAGTGCGACTCACCTTATGCAAGTACGTCATGCGATTTAATCCCATCGGAATCGATAGAAGTGCTCAGAAAAGTAATGAAAGAGAAGAAGTGGTGGAAAGGCCGATATTCTTATAGTACTTCATTAGAGATCGATTGATGATCATAAGATATCAAGTCCAAAGAGACTCTCTTTGGAGAGGGTCTTGCATTACATTGCTAGAAGAAGAAGAATTAGCAGCAAAAGTGAGGTACTGAGGAATGTTATTGCTACTGAAGTTAGTACTACTAATATTGGAATTGAAATTAAGAAAGGGTTTCTGATCATCTTGATCTATAATATGGGATGAGGTTGGTAAGGTGGGCTCTTGTTGCATCTGGATGCACAGTATCTCTGCCTGAGCCACCGCAAGCTGCATTTGTAGCTGAGAAACTTGGTTCTGCAGGTAAGATATTGCCCCAACACATCCGTAAACTGGGTCTCTCACTCTTGCATTTGCTTCATACACCAAACTGCTAACAGCATCACCTCTTTGATGAGCCGGAAGCTCCTGTGAGATAATTAATAGTAAACAACCAAATATAAGGAAAAGAACAGAATAAAGATATATAATAGAAGCCGGTAATCATGAAGTTACAAAAGCACTCTCTAAACAAATTATAACCAAAGAAGGCAATATATACGTGGTTGCAGATATAACTTAACGGTATATTTATGGTGACTCCATTATAAAGAGTCCCATACATGTCCTAAATTTAAAAATAAACGAGGCAATGTGTGTGTGTGTGTGTGTGTGTGTGTGTGTATATATATAGAAGAGAGAGAGAGATGAGATGATTAAAACCTGCAACATTTTGCTGACATTGCTAGCACCAAAGACCTTGTGGACAATGGCGAACTTGTGAGGGTCATCGGCGGGGAAGTAAGGGGCAAAGATGCAGTCCTTGGCGCACCGGCGCCTCAACAACTTGCAGGAAGCACATGGAGATGAACCCCCCATTTTACCTTAACAAGAGAGGAGGCAAAAGAAATATTTCTGTTTTGAAGTACGTAAATAGAATAGGAAGGGAATGTGTGTTAACGTCTATTGCTATAGCTATACCACAAAAGAAGCTTGGTGTTGAAGAGAATGAGCTAAATATGTGGATATTTATATTAGTTGGCTGGTATTGGGGGTGGAATGCTTCCACATGATTCACTAATGGAATGGTTGCACATGCTTACACTATTAAAATATAGATATTCATATTAACTTATAGTGTACATTAATAGACTTTGTCTTTCTGAACCAATACATTAATAGACTATATTGAGAGACCAAATATTCCCAAGTGTAGAAGCAACATTCATATATACAAACGGTAACGCGAGTGTAGATTGACGAATCTAGACATGATGATATGAATTATTTAAGGGTTGTGGTTAAGGGGTAATTAGGTCACTTAATTAATTAATTAAAATCAGTGAAATATATTTTTTTGAGAAAACAAACTGTGAGGTTGACCACCGCGGTTGCGCGTTCTAGGTTGGCAACCATGCAGCTGTGTAGCTTTCACGTTCTGGTTTGACCCTTTTATATATAAATCTGTGTACATACATAGTTACATACATATATACGCCTATTATTTATGTTACATGTATATTAATAATATACATAGAGACAGTGGCGGAGCCAGAGCCAGAATTTTGATTCAGATGGGGCGTAAACTAAAAACGTAAAAAATGCTAATAAAATCAAATCCTAATATTTTTGGGTGAGTAGTATATATGCATGGACTATTGAACATATATACTTGAGTAATAAATATATTAACAAGTAAATTAGATAAGAAAAACTATTTAAGAGGGACATAATAGCTATGAGAAAATAGTAGTTGCGAGTGACAGAAATGGTACAAAAAAAGATCTTTAAGTATATAGGGCACATATGAATAAATACATATTACTTCAACAAGGGCAAATTAGAAAAAATGTATGTATGAGAAAGTCATAATTGAGAGGATTGTTTGGAAAAAAAAAAAAATTCTTAATTAGGGACACATTTTGAGAAAAAATATTTTAATGGATAATTTTTTATATAGCTTAGATTATATCTAAAAATATTTTAGAAGGGACTAATTTGAAAGAAAAATTGTTTTCATAAGAATAAATTAGAGAAAAAAATCAAATAGGTACATTTATAAAAATAAAAGATTTAACAGGAAAAGATCAAAAGAACAATATGAAGAAATACAATAATTTGAGATTAAATTTTGTGTGGATATATTAAAAATTTTTATTGATAAAGAGGGCATATATGAAAAAGCTTTGAGAAAACATATACTAAAATTTAAATATCAAAAATCCAGGGGGGGCATATGCCCCCTCTGGGCCTCACCTCCCTCCGCCACTGCATAGAGAGACTCAGAGCTTATAAAAAAGTATATGTGTAAAGAGTAGGGGGCTAGCTCCTATGTGCTCCAAGAGAGGAAATTAAATATATAAATATAGTGTGCTAATTAATTATATTATTAGAAAATAATGTTAAATATATGGAGGAAAGAGAGAGAGAAATTAATTGTGAAGAGAGCAATTGGTTTTAGAGTTTAGGAACACAAAGAAAATGAGGTGAAAAACCCTAACCGGGACCAAGACTCCGAGAGAGATGGGCTCAAGTTCAACGTGAATGTTTGTTGGCGACATTCACAATGAAACATACATCTCTCTCTCTCTCTCTCTCTCTCGCATAGAAAACACTCTTCAACGGACGCGCAAACACCAATATATCTACAGTACCGTTGCTTTGGTCAAGGCTAGCTTATTATGCACAAATTTCTACGTGTCCACGAACTCAGTTTAAAAGTTACAAAGTATTGATTTAATTTGGCGGAGAAGATCTAGAATATGCTGATTTCGATGCCTCAGGGTCACAGCTGAGACTGATTTACATGAACATTTACACACTAGAGACAAAGTAGCATTTTTGTGATTTTGGAGGTATCTACCTATATGAGGGTCAGTCAGGCGTAGCTTCATTAAACAAAAAAGTGTAAGAGATCATTCGAACCTGTCAATCTTCTTGCGGCAAAAATAGAACATAGAGACAAAAAAATGTGCATGTTGACAGTCCAGTATTCATTTTCAATTTTTTTTCCCAGTAACAATGAAGGTTTTTTTTTTTTTTTTTTTTTTTTTTTTTGGGAACGAACAATGAAGTTTTAATAATATTGACAATATCTACAAAAGATTTAGACAGTATGCTTTAAATGTAAAAAGAGTTTTCTAACCAAAGTTAGTTAAAATAAACATATAACAAATAAATTAATCAAACGTATTTTGTTGAATTAAAAAGACCACATGAACACACTTGATCTTACCATTAATTGATACGCTTGTATGTGCTTCTTGGCCAACGCCTCTCCTCTAATTGAAATTCACGAAACCTCATTTAACATTTTTAATTTTTCTTCTAATTAAGATCAACACCAACAACTACTTTCCCAAAAATAATAATAATAATAATAATAATAAACAACAAAAAAAACGAAAACAAAAGAAAAAACTAATCAAGAAATATCTGCAAGTACCACTCATTGTATTAATATTTATTTGCGGACTCTTTTCCAAATTGATTTAAAATAAAGTTACTTCAAGCACTGATTTTTCCTTTTCTTTTCTTGCCCCGTTCACACTCATAGCACGTTATCTTTTACGAACATTTAGATAAATGTACCATGTGTTCGAGTTTATTCAAAAAATATATTATCTATTTTGTACCTCATCAAATATATGCCAAAATATTTAAACTGTACAACAAATTCGTACCCTATAATAGACACTGCTCAATTTTTACTAATTTAATAGCATACATACCCTCGAAGAAAAAAGAAGGAGAAGAAGAAGAAGAAGGAAAAAAAAAAAAAAGAAGAAGAATTTAGAAGAAGAAAAAAGAAATCCAATCTCTTAAAAAGACCATAAAACAAAAAAAAAATGTTATAGAAAAAATACAATTGACATGCTTTGCTTGGGATTTTTTTTTTGTTTTAATGTTTTTTAATTTTTTGAATTTGTTCTTTTCTTTTCTTTTCGTTTCAAGTATATTTTTTTAATCCTTTCAACATTCACAATTGAGCACAAACTGGTCTAGTGCATTGACTTGATACACATTAGAAATATTTTGGTATATATTAAATTAGGTCCAACGTGAATGGTACGAGTGTGTGTAAATTTCCCTTTTTAATTATTTCCCGTAGCTTCACTGACAACTAGTTTGTAAAGAAGTATTTTTCCAACATATACAGCCATTCACTAGTCAATGACTTATCAGAATGTAAACGCTTCTGAAGTTGGCATTTAGAAAATTAATAAAACGATAGCTATGTAACATAGGGCCACAAAGCCCAAGCTAAGAGCTTCTGAACCGAGAGATTTAGAAATTAATTAAAAGGTCAAAAATAAGACAACTTTCTTCCGGTGGGTTACGTCGTGGGTAGCCTCTGCACAAAGAATAGATTGGACACAAAAGGGTACATTTTTCGTAAATTAGAAGAAGAACTTCATTAATTAATTAATGTACACAGCAGTCTTGCGTGGAATTTATTTAATTCCAAACCCCTTATCACATCTCTACAATTGTATAATTATTACAACACCCCAAGAAGAAATTAATGTGGACCGGTTACTGAGATCCGACATGAGGCATAGGTTTAAGGATTAGAAAAAAGAAAAAAAACCCATTTCGAGAGTTGATTGAGACTAAAACAATCCGACTTGTGGAACCCCGAGACCCTATTCCCACTCTCTTGCATTTAATGCACTCCACATGATTCCAAGCTTCTAATCTTTTGTTCCGAGAACAACAACTTCCTTTCCCTAGTTGTCTTGGCGTTATGTACAAATGTTCCTTTTTTATGTGCCTTTTGTCCTATAAAATAAGTATTTTTGTTTTTCTTTTAACGAGCCCTTCTACGGTATGACTTTTTATCTGTAGTTTTTTTATTAGTGGTTCGTTGAATCATATCAAAATCAAAATTACATTACAATAAAAGGATAATATGTAAAATAAATAATTTATAATATAAATATGACAGTTAAAAAAAAGATACTTATCGGTAGTTTTGAAACCCTACTATAAAATCTCTTATTAGAAAGAGAAAAGGGGATTTGTGTTGTTGAATTTCTTTTTAGTGCATTACCTCACAAAAACGCGTACTAATTTGTTTCAGTTTTCAGTTTAGAGAATTTCAAACCCCTAAGCTCTAGGAAGAAGAAAAACTTCTACGCTCTAGATAATGATGATCAGAACCTTTTTTTCTTTCTAAACTTTGTTTTTTACCTGTAATTTTTTAATCAAATTAATAAAGTAGAGGAAAAACAGACATCTTTCACCATGTTAGAGGAAAATAAAAAAAAACATGAGAGCTCCAATGCAAACATTAAATGCGCTTGGTGATATGGAAGATTCGATTCTTGAGATGTGCATGGTTTTTCAAATCAAAGACGGTGAAGATTAGAAGTAATGTTTGACAACAGCAACTTTCTAGGGAGTACTTCAAAGTGGCTACTGACCTCAAATTCAATTGCTTCAACAGAGAGGTGTTTGGATTTCCAATGCCAAAGTCCTCATAATCAACCCAATGCAAAGAAAGAAAGAAAAACTTTGGGACAAAAATTAATCTAGCTAGCGCGTAAGGGACCATGCTAAATTTTTCGCTACATTGCTGCATTTTCACTTTAAAGATTCTTAGCTATCCCGAAGGTTCATGATCCCAAAATCAAAGATATAAATTATGCGCATAATTTAATTTGTTTGATGGAAATAGAAAAAAAAAAAAAGATATGAAATTATATACTAGTACGTACACTATTTTAATGCATAGAAAGAGTTATCATCAGTACTAATTTAATTGATATATATATATATCATATTTGATTTACCTACGCAGAAGCCTTTTCTCGTTTGATGCATAGAAAGAGTTATCATCAGTACTAATTTAATTGATATATATATATATATATCATATTTGATTTACCTACGCAGAAGCCTTTTCTCGTTTCCTTATTACGCTTTTTAGGTGGGGAAGGCTATTCTTAAGTTTTCCGCCTTTTTAGACATTTTATTATTATTATTTTATCAAGCCAAGTGCTTAATTTATTTAATCTTTGTCACAATTCTTCTTCCGTTTTCTAATTTTGTACTCCACTATGCCCTTTATTTGTATGCAGACAATGTTAAAATGGACTTATTTATCCATCAAAAAAAAAAAAGCAAGGTTAAAGTGGGACTTATTTTTATAACCAAACGGTGAGTGAGATGTAAGCAAACAAAACTTGGAAATGACACTTTCAAGAGATTATCTTAGCATGAGTATAAATCTCATGAGTCCTGCCTTATTAGCAAATATACATTCATGTTCAAGGAAATACCATATATTAGTGCCTGAGGCTGGCAGTAAAAGTTCAAGCAAGTAAGACTGCTAATATGGAACACAAGATTCAAACCAAAGGGCAATTATGCTGATATATTCATCCCTGAACTTTTGCAAGAGCCATCAAAAATCAACTAGTCAAGCAAGCAAAACAAACGGACAGAGGGGCAGAGAATACTCCTCTTTCCTAATGGCATCTTCATAAATATGACAGTCCTAGACTTGCTGTTTAAAGAAGAATAGTCTAGGACAAAGATAAGAGAGATCATAAACGTAAACATTGTTTTATCACTTGTAGAGATTATAGGTCTAATCCACTCAGTGTCATGCACATAGTAGTGTCTAGACTATCATATGTTAATCGATTAATGGACTAAAAACATAGTAAATCCTATTTAATCTCATTCCCACTTAAAATCTACTGCTCTTAAGTTGATGTGTGTATGTGGGTTTCAATTTTTTAAAAGAACTAAAAAAGAAGTGTTTTAGCTTATCAAAAATTGACATGGGTTAACATCCTATAGAGAGACATAGAAGTGCTCAAAAACGTAAAACGATATCATAATCACCATCACTGCTAAGTATTCATATGTCATAATTAGGGAATCCAGCATAGCGTATCCCATTACTATCGAGACCATTGGGCCAGCCCACGATCTGCAATAACACTCAATTCAGACAATTAGGCTTTCCAATTTTGATTACTTTTGTACATAGACGCATACATTCTACACATGAAAAGCCACTAAATGTTTTGGTTGATGTTTACTCCGATCTTGATCCTTCTTTCTCTATGAGGTATTCCATCCAGTTTATTAAGAGCCACCGAGGTTATTTAAAACTGGCTAAATGTATTTACATCAAATGAAATGGAGAATGATACTTGGGTTTCTCCTTTGTAAAGATGGTAGCTTTTAGGCTTTTAATATCAGATCGGGACTAGCCACTAACCTAATGCAATGAGTTTATTTCTGAGATGAACGTGTTTGCATACCGGTGTCTAGGGTGCAAGTTGTACCCTTTTAACAGTTTTTTCCAGTGCCGTAGCCATCAATGTTCTGTTGGATCTGATCCCTTCCAGCAAAATGATTGCATTGAAAGATAGCCTGAAACTATATCAACTATCAAGCCAGGTAATCTTGTTTAATAAAGAAGGCGGTGTCATCAAATCTCGGTGGTATTTCGTTCATCAGTCTTGCCTAGCAAGCTTTGGCTTTCTTGCAAACGCCGCAGGTTTCGCTTCCTGATTCCATTCCTAAACAAAGTGCTTGCTATGGACTGTGTCCGTTCACCAATAGTAGAACACGCTTTACTTCTTTTTATCTGTTTACTCTTAGTGTACTTTGCTGCCTGCGCCTGAACTGGTAAAGAAAACAATTTAACACGCAGCCTATTTCAAAAGATGTGTTGTAAAGAAGGCAAGAGTTACAGAATAATGTGCACTAAACTCAGACACGAACTTCTGCATGTGTCTAGAAAAGAATGGATAGGTAAAATCATTAACAATATGAAGCAAAATAGCATATAATATGTGCTCCCATGTTCTTTCCTGACATAATTTTGCCATACTGGTCGCTTGGACAAAGATGGGGCGTGATCGACATAGGTAACACACTGAAACTTTCAGCAACAGTGAATGTGTACATTAACCCAATCCTATGCCATTAAGGATACTTCAAAACGTGTAGATGCCTTCTGGAAATTTAAACACCAATAATAAACATGAAACCAATAGTCAAACTCAGAGATTGTCAAGAAGTGTAAACGTTCTTGGCCATTAAGAATCCCTAGAAAACTTACAAGTGTCCCGTCGGAATTTCCCCATCATTAGACAATAATAAGCATGACCCCACCAACTCAAACTTAAAATTGTCAATAAGAGTAAATATTTCTCTCCTACCCAGAGACATCCCAATAAGACTGCTATTAACCTTATAGATATCTCGTGCAATTGCGCCATCAACAATTAGCAAAAAAAAACTTCCTCCTGAAGGATTGGGAAATGCAACTTACGCTCTACCGTGAGTACATAGCATACAACATGATCATTGTGTAAACCAGACTTTAAATCGTCTCCCCCTTAATTCTTTGATGCAACTTATTATTTTTTGGCAGCACAGACAATTAGTTTCTTAGAGTTTCAATTTCCATCCTATCAAGTTGACTTGAAGATGTGAATGACTTTATAGAGTTTCAACTTCCATCCTATCAAGTTGACTTGAAGATGTGAATGACTTTACAGACTAATGAAGCATTACCGATCTAAAAAAGTAAGCGTGTACGAACATTCATGGATGACTAGTTAGGACACTATAAATAATCTTTGACGTGAATGACTTGTCATCACGTAGGTCTCTAATCTCAAACTGAACCAATAAAATCTTAAAGCACAAATACTTCGTCATGTTAATTTAGAAGACACATAATCAATAAGACATACCAGAATGTGAAGCGGCTAATGTTGTGGCACAATCCTTGAGTTGCTTTAGCTTTTCAATAACTTCCAAACTCTCGAAGCACTCAACTGTTTTGCCATCTGTTCTAGAATTCTTTTGGAAGCATAGGAGTGCATTTTCACATGCCTAAAAATGAAGAAGAAACAAAACCTCAAGGATGAATGAACATTAAATTTATTGTACGCTGAAAGAAGTGTAAAATAGTGCGCAAAACATTTTAAATTTGACCGGCTTGAAATGAAAGAAAGCGCATCTGAATGCAGAAAGCAATATATCACTATATAAAACCTTGACATCTATAAGATGAATAACAGAGTAATCACTATGAGATGCAAAGATAAACTTCGTTAGGAATCCTTTTGAGTCTTTGACACGGAAGTCTCGGCGCATCGTCTTCCAATAATAATTTGGTAATACAAGCCACTGTAGTATACAATCATTAGGCCATGGGAAAGAGAGGGCAACACATTTTTCAATTAGCACGACTTTAACAAACAAGAAACCGAAACTACATGCATTTGAACAAAATATATTATATGCACACACAGCTTCAGGAAACACCTTTCTTGCAATGGAATGAAAGCCATAGTCTAGTGATTGCTCAGCAAAGTTTAACCATTCAGTATATGAAACTTCTAGCCATTGGTGACTGGAGGACTTGAATTCCCTCAAAAGCAAGGCCTCGTATCTCAAAGCCAAGCAACTCTAGAAACATGTGAAGTAACACGAATCAGCACACACAGAGTACTTTTAGAAACCTTTCCGTACATTAACGAAATCAGTGGTAAGGACAATCAAATTTATACTCTGAAGATAAAGAGCTTCATAAGATCATCTACTTCACTAATCCAAACAAGGCTAAAAATCATCCAAAAAGCTAGGTTGAAAGGCCTTTGAGAATTCAGGCACAATTTGTTCGTTTCCTTCTTTCCTTTTCAAGGGAGAATCTAAACAAGCTAAATTGGAAGCAGTGATTAGCTAAAAAAGTAAGAGTTAATCCTAATCCGAAGCAAATTTTCTCGCAAAAGATCCGTGATGATTAATACAGATCTCGAATTTAGAAATTAACTATGAAATTAGATACTTTTCATTTCTGATCGAGAAAGGAAAGTTCAAGAAGGCGTACTTCAACATCGCCTAAAAGAGCGAAAGACTGGACAAGAAACTCGAGATCCAGAAGCTTCTTCTCAAGAGGTTTCTCCGCATTCTCGCGCATGATAGACATGGATTCAGACCTGAAGAACTCCCGCAAGCTCGATCGGAACTCCATTACGTCTTTGGAAACCATTACTGATTCGACTATTAGAAGTGTGGCGGCGTCGAACCTGAAATTTTTTTTAGAGTTTAAACAGATAATCCAAAGGCGAGAGAGAGAGAGAGAGAGAAGACCTTCTCGTGAAGATGTGAGAGCGAATCAGGGAGATTTGCTGAGCAACTGAGTTCGACATTTTTGGGCGAGAATTGGCGGGTAATGTTCTTCCGCTTCGGGTTTGCTTAATACTTTACTTATATGTGTTTACACCTAAGAGGGCCCCACTTTAAATCCACAAGGGAAAGCCGAAATTCATCAAGCTGTGAAAAAACGACCGTTCGTTTAATCAGGAGGGGAAAAAATATCTAATTGAACTAGCTAGAATAACCGCTGAAAAAAAAAAAAAAAAAAAAGGACGTTTGAGACCCAGAAGTCAAGATTTTTAAAATAGGGGCCAAATTGCTAAAACTTAAACCGTTTGAGAACCAGAGCTGAAAAATCCCGTTTTGGATAGGAGTATGCGAAATAAGAGTTGACCCCACGAAAAAAGAACAATTGGAATTAGGCAGGTATGGCCGGACGACACCATCCTCCGCCGCCAAAAGCCGTAAACCTCCGCGAAGCCCCTCCGTCCCGATCAAACCCCGCAATTGGAGACCACCGACTCCTCCTCCACCACGCCCAACCCTCGGCGGGTCTCGAAGACTGTATCGCAATCCAGCACCGCGAGATCCAAACCCTTCTCATCGACAACCAGCGCCTCGCCGCCACCCACGTGGCGCTCAAGCAGGAGCTCGCCTCCGCCCAGCAGGAGCTCGCCGCCCTTTCGGCGGCAGCCGCGACTGCCAAGTCCAAGAGGGACGCTCAGGTCCGGGAGGTCTACGAGCGCTCGCTGAAGACGGACGCCGAGGCACGTCTGATAGACGCCATTATCACGGAGCTCGATCAGGTGCGCGGGGACGTGCAGAAGCTCGGCGCGTCGCGGAAGGAGCTCGCGGTGGAGCTGCGGGTGGTCGAGGAAGACGCCGCGAGAGCCCGCGATGAGGCGAAGCAAGTGCCGTCCATCAAGGCAAACACTGAGAGCCTCCGCCGGGAAATTCAGAGAGGACGGTAGTTTCTTTTACTTTTATGTATGAACTACGGTTTAATTATTTCGACTAATTTCATTGTCTTCTCCTCACTTTGCCTTGTTAAATTCGAGTCTTTGAACTTAGAGATTTAGTTTTCAATTTTTTTTTTTAATTCCATCAATCATTTTGAAATTCTGCTGGAAATAACTGATGTGGTGATTCGCTTCTGTCAAAGAAAAAGTTCATGAATGGTGAAGGTGCAAAATGCAATAAATTTCAAATTTTAGGAACTGTAGATTTAAATGAACATTGAGATGAATCATAGTCTAGGCGATAAGTTACATTGAACCTAATCTTTTCATATAAATGTGGATGGATTTGATAAAATAATTAATCAGTGATGGTATGTTGTTCTTGTGGTATTATCTTTTCTCATATGTGGGCTTAGTTATTTTATTCCAATTCTTGATTTTGGATATGGTTTAGTAATATGTGTTGTGCAATTTGGGAGTTCTAAAATTTTGGTGTTTGCAATTAGATATATGATAACTTTTTTAAGGACTCAAATGATGATGTTATCTGAACCTATGAATATCACTAGTTAGTAATTGCATCATGTTTAAGTATTTTCTTATTCTATGTGAGTAGTGATGACATTATAGAATTCTAGTGTTGTAGGGAGAATTGAGAACCATTTTAAGTGTGATCTCGTCCATTTTGTCCGTATGGATAGGGATGCAATTGAACAGGAGAAGAAAACACGCATCCATAACCTGGGGCACCGCGAGGCAATGGAGAAAACCATGGTTTCCATGGCTCGTGATATCGAAAAGCTAAAAGCCGAGCTAGCTAATGCAGAGAGTCGAGCAAGGGCTGCGGCTGCGGCAAACCCAAGTACGTTATTCTTCAGAATTGAAGAGTAATCATGTGTAAATTCCTACTATTTAAAGGGCATTAGATCTTTAATTCAATGATTTTGTATGCAGATCATGGTTATGCTGCAATTCCTGGCAACACTGCTATGGGTTATGGAGGACAATCATACCCCGATCCCTATAGCATACATCATCAGGTATGTCCCTAATCTTTTATCATTTCTCTCAATGTAAGATTCGCAAAGGAATGGTGAATTACATGATACATGTAAGACCGTACCTGCAAGAAATGAATGTACTTCAGATTACTCTTAACACATGCTTTCTATTTTTAGGTTCAAGTTGCTGAATCTAATGCTCAGTATGGATCTGGTCCAATACCACATGGCTCCATTGACATACAGCAGACGAATATCTATAGATAAAGATTTCCATTAGCTGTTGGAATAACCAGAAATCAAATGTATGTTTGTCTTGCTGACATTTCATTGTCTGAGTTTTAGCTAGAATTTTGGCATCCTCCATTGATTTTCTCAGCCTTCCTCCTTCAATGCCTGAGATATGTGTATAGTTCTAGTATTATTGAATGATTATTTAGGCTTTGTTCATGTCAATCATTCGAATCATAATTCGTGTTTTCTCTAACAGAAATTTAAATTCAACTTTTTCTGCTACAATGTTCTCTCACATAAATTTACTTTTCAACTTAAGTTCTCAGATTTTCTTTTTTTGTGCTACTCCTGAATCCTGGTCTCTTCACATAAAGCCTTTCTCCAAAGATGCTAAAATCCCATGTCATAGTTTACTAAAATTAGTGGTTGTCTTTTGGCCAATCGATGTTAGTTTATCTCTTGGCAATCTAGTATGTGGATGACGAGTGAGGCTTTTAAGAGAGATTTTTTATTTATTTCTTTCTTTTTAAATGATTGAAAAAAAGGAGTTTTTGAACAAAAAAAAATTAAAAGAAAAATGTGTTTCATAAAGTCGTCAGACTTCTAATAGTAAATTTTGAAGGCCAAAATAAGACAAGTGGATATTCGCCTTGCTAACAGTTCCTATTAATAGTGGTGTTATAATCAGTAGTGATTCTGTTTTATTCTTCTTCCCACCAAGCCCCGATCGATTTGGAAAGGATGCATTTGGGTGCGTACATTTGTATAAAACCCATGATTTGTTTTTGTTTTTTTTTTATTTTTTATGGATTGTTTATAATCAATGCTGACAAACCATTGCTCATAGCGAACTACAGAATTTTCTACACGTGATCATCTTGTGACAAGATGTTTTATATTGGTAAGTAGTTAAAAATAATGCTCATTAAAAAAAAAAAACAGCAGTAAAATAAAAGGTTATTTACATTTGTGTACCTTATATTTTAGGTTTATTTAAACAATATACCCTCATTTTTTTTATCTCATCAAATTAATATTATACATATACTAAAGGAATTGACTACTTTTACTATTTATGCTATAGTATTATGAATAGTATCTTTCCCATTTTACCCCAATTTCTCTTCCTGCGTTGGTCTAATGTTGTTTTAAATGTTAATTTACTACAATGCCTTTTATTTCATCTTCAGTTATTTTCCTTCATTTTCTCAGTTATTTCATTTCCTTTCACTTTTTTAATTCTCTATGTTTTCCTCTTCTGTCTTCTATAACCTTCTACGTTTTTCTTTTTTTCCTTCTCTTCTGAAGCAAATTTTCTCGCTCTTCCTGTTTCTTCTCATTCGTTTTTGGTTTCTTCGTTTGTTTCAAAAGGAAAAAAAAAAAAAATTCTCTACTTTTTGTTTTCTTATGATGCTTTTGGGTGATTAGGGTTTTGTTATTTTGGTATCATCTGCACTATGGTGGTTTATAAGTATTTATGTCTTCATATAGTTTTTTGTTTCTTCATTTTCTTCATTCCGATCTGTTTGGACATTAATTTTTCCTTTTTGTACCGTTTCTTCTTCTCTGATATTTTTGGGTGTTATGGATTTTTTTCATTTCATCATTTGTTTACTAATATGATTTGTGTTTATCTCTTCTGATCTGTTTGAGTGTTTTGAGTTTTCTTGATTTCGTCATTTGTTAACTGATATGGTTTTTTATTTTTTTTATTTTTTTTATTTATTTTTGAAAAAAAAAAATTTCTTTTAACTGTATAATTTTTTTGTATTGATATTTTTTTGTTTTTTTCTTTATGATGTTCTGTTCTGAAACAATAAAATTTTTGTATTTACTTGTTTTTTTTCCAAGTTCTTCATACAGAGGCATTTGGAAATGTTTTTCTTATGTTTTTTTTTCGATCCATTTTAGAATTTTACAAATGTTTATTTTTCTTTATTTTTGTTTAGTCTATTGTCTTTTGTCATTCTGGCCGATTAGTTTAATTAGTTGTTCTTCTTTTTCATTTTCTCAGGACTCTTACTATCTAACCATGTTAATTTTGTGGTTTGACACGTGTTGAGTAATCATATTTTTGATATATTTATTTTTACAGGACTTTTAATCAGAGATTGAGCAAAAATTTGATGTCGTTCTCTATATATAACATGTTCTGTTGTGTTACAACAGCAGTGTATTTTACTTTCTACAATATATGTATGCATGTAAATATATTTTAATTAACAATACTACATATATATATATATGTGTAAATATATTTATACAAATTTCAAATCTATCATATAATACAACACTGTATTCCGCAGCAAAACGCAGAATAGTATATACTAAAAAAGGCATCGGAGTTACTGTTCCTAGAACAGTGTCCAGACCCTTTTGTTTCTCACTTTAGAGAAAATCCCCTGTTTGTCCCATGCTGCTCGTTTCCTTTTTTTCATTTTGGTGTCTTCATTCGTGGCCTCAACAGAGGCTTTTGGGTTCTCTTCCTCGGATAAGAGCTTTCTAGGGTTTTTTTCTCTTCGGCGTTTTCATTTTGTGGTTTTCCATTTTAGTGTTTTCATTTTGTCACCTCAACAAAGGCCTTTGGGTTTCTCTTTCTCGGATGAGAGTTTTCTATGGGTTTTTCCTTCTTTCTCATTTAGGTGTTTTCGTTTTGGGGTTTAAAGAGTTTTCTAGAGTTTCTCTCTTTCTCATTTGGGTGTTTCCCTTTTGTGGCTTCAACATAACTTTGTGGATTTTTCTCTTCTTTCTCATATTCTACGGTTTTTTTCTTCTTTCTCATTTGGGTGTTTTTGTTTTGTGGCTTCTATTCTGGCTTTTCCTTCTCTTTCTCACATTTACTTTTTTCCTTTCTTCTCGTTGTTTGGAAATTTTTGGTTCTATGGGTTTTTTTTTCTTTCTCATTTCAGTGTTTTCGTTTTGTGGCTTCTACTGAAGCTTCTGGGTTCTTCTTCCCTCTTTTACATATGCTTTTTGGTTTCACATTTGCTTTTTCCTTTTTTTTCTCACTGTTTGGAAACTTTTGCTTCTATTGTGTTGTTTTAATTTTTTTGCCATAATTGTATTTTTACAGGTTGTGATTGGTAATGCATTTAGGCCACTTTCATTTTTTAATCTACGCTTTTCTCTTTTCATATATATTTTTTTAAAAATTTTAAAAAACATTTGCTCTCTCGTTTTTGTGCTCTAATTTAGGGTTTCATTTTTTCGTTTGACATAATTTCTTTCCTCTGCCATATAACTATATATATATATATATGTATGTATGTAAATTAATATATACACTTATATGATAAAAATTACAGCATTCCAAAAATCAATTTCCGAATGTGTAACGAATTTTTTTTTTATTTTCAATATTTTTATATATATATATTTTTTATAATATGTTACTCCATAACATTTCAAAATATTGCATTATTCACTTTAATTTTATTATCCGTGCAATAGTAAACTACACCTAATAGATAAATTCAGACCTTATCCCCGTTAATACTCAATTTTGACCGTCATAATCCCCAAAATACCCTTAAAAATACTCTAAAAATAGAGAAAAAAAAAATGTACAACTGAAAAGGATTTTTTTTTTAATGAAACTAGAAGGAAATTGAATTTAATCCTAACCATTAACATTACATCAGATCACCCACCATCACTGATCACCTCATTGTATTTGCCCACTCCATCATGCAACTCAACGTCGGCTGCCCACCTCTACTCACAGCGTCCCAGCCACACAGACCAAACTTGTGTGCCCCCAACTCAAAACCAAAGAACAAAAAGGAAACAAAAACTTTAAAACCAAACAAAAAAAAGAAAATGAATGGAACGAAATCAAGAATCAAAAACCCACATGAAAAATTTGAAAAAAAAAAAAGAAAGGAAAAATGGTGAATCAAATAGTGATTATATTCCATTCATCGGAGAGATCTACAAGATTGGATGAGGAGCTAGGTAGAATCGAAGGAGTTGGAAGAGTGGATAGGAGCGTTCGAGGCTTGGGTTCGGGAGGTTGGACTCGCCATTGCCCATCATGGCCGGTTTGGGGGTATTTGTCGCAGATCTTGACGGGGGTACGGGATGGCCGATGCAGATTATGGGCGGTGACTAAGTGAGATCGGCGTTGTGGTTGACAGTGGGGGCGGTGACGGGTGGGCTCGCCATGGTGGTTGACACTGGGGGTGGTGAGGGGTGGGTTCGCCGTGGTTATTGGTAATGGAGGCGAGTCGGGCGTGGTGGTCCGTGGTTGACAGTAGGGGTGTTGAGGGGTTTATTTTTTTAGGTTTTTTTTTTCAATTTTTATAGTATTTTTTTTTTCTCAATTTTCTTTATCTGAGTGTATTTTTTATAATGTAAAGGTTAAAATTGAATGTTAACTAAGAAAATGTATAAATTTGTGTATTAAATTTAATTTAAAAGTACAAATTTGATGTGATGAAAAAATAAAGGTATATTTTTAAATTAACTTAAAATATATGATATAAAAATGTAAATATCCCTAAAATAAATTATTTGCTTAGAGTTGTAGATCCTCTTCACCTTTCATTTTCGAAAGAATGGCATTATGGCGATGGACAAAAAAGAAAGAAAAAGCTTATTAAAAGCGGGGTCCAGTTACATGTGAAGCTAATAATGCAGACACAAAAGAGACATCTTATTTTCATTGTAGAATAATGGAGCCAAAAGGAGGGCGTACATAAATCTCTCAACTTGGCATCCGCACAAAGTACACACTAAACAACAGACATAAACTCATAGCAAAGAAACAACACACAAACTCATAGCAAAGAAACAACACAAACTGATTTTGCTAACCCTTTATTTATAGCAGCTTCGCTACTAAGCTGCCAACTTCTTAGCTACCATTAACCCAACACATCCGATATTGTTTTTTTTTTTTTTTTTTTTTTTTTTTGGGGGCTAAATCCCGATACAATCTCTCTCTTACATATCACCAACATGGTGCATCAATAGATGTAATACCAAACTCCTCTCAACCCCACCATTGATGCACGGCAACTCCCTCATCCTTCACCCTTCCATACAATGCTAAGCATTCCCAATAAGCCCTCTTGCTCTCATTCTTACTATTCTTCCCAACTTCCCACCACTGATTATTGCACTCCATGAACAACTCATCCACCAAATGGATTGTCCTCTTGTTTATCATCTCCTCCACCGCATCTGCTTCTGCCTTTATCACAACATAATCTTCTTCCCTCACATTCTTTGTTAGCCAATCCGAGATATCGTTTTGCGTTGATGCCAACCTGCTTGTACCTTCTTTGGGCACCACATTAAGGTCATAAACCTCGAATTCTTGCTTCATCTTCGGGTAGTTCTGATGGAACCACTGAGTTACATCCTTGCTTTGTTCAGGCAAGCCCACATTGACAAACACCCTGCGCCTAAACCCTTCAAGAGAATCATCCCCCAACAACTGTGGAAGGAACTTGATTTTCCTCGAGTAGTTCTCTAAATCTTTGGAAAGCTGCCGCCTTCTCGGCGGCTCAAGCAACACTTCTTCTAATTCTTTCAAAGCTTCCGCTTTATTGACCTCAGTTGCTGATTGGAGAAGGTGTCTCTTAGAGAAAGAACTCACAACTGACGTTTCATCAACAGCGCGAGTTTTGATCTTCCTCATGGCCACAATGGTGGACGAATACCGCCTAAGATACACAATCTTGTAATCCGTCTTTTCCGGCAAGATGGTTGCCTGCTCATCATTGCTCAATGGGAAAGCCACAATTCCTCCTGTCTTCACCACGTGATCAACAAACTTAACGTCCGTAGCTAAATTAGACGCGAAGACAAAGTCAAAGGACTCATCAAAGACTAATGAGCTTTGAGCTTGACCCTCCAAAGATGAATCCATTGCCATGACAATTTGCTTGGCGCCAAAGTTCTTAACACTGTGAATTACACTCTTAACGCCAGGGGAAACAATAAGAGCCTTGTCGCTCTTTCTGATAAGACCCTCCTCAGACAAATCATGGATAAGCAAATCCAATTGCTCATGATTGAAAACGACACCATACTTGGTGTTGGACTCAATGCCATTAGAACCTCTTGTAAAGGAGCCAATACAAGGGAATGTAATGAAAACCAAAGCCAGAAAAACTGACCGAGAGATTACTCGCAAGAGCTTCGGATCAGGAAGCTTGATGACCAAAAGGGTCTCTGAGTCCAACCCCATTCTCATCCCACCATGAAACTGCTTGATCTTGTTTTGGTCATTGGCCTTAATCCCTGGGCCCACCGACTCCATAACTGTCAAATTTTTCTTCTTTTTTTCCGTCGAAATTTTCACAAACACCTTTGAGAAACGGCGAGATCCGATCCGAAGGACGCCTTTAATGGTCGATTTGTGGAAGACCCAGATGCGAAATCTTGAACAGAAAACGGAGATAAAAGAAAAAGAGTGTTTTTTTTTTGCAGGTAAAACAAACGGGAAAGAATTGGGTTTTTCTTAGCGGGAACAAAACCTGGCAGCGGTGTGATTACCACCCACGAGAGCCACACGAGTGCTTCGGATTCTACACCAGAGGAACAACAATTGCCTAATTCTTTGAAACTCCATGGCTGTTTTACCTCTCTCTCTTCTCAGTTGTTCGTTTTTTCCTCTACCGACCCATATCAAAATGTGGCTGCGTTTCAGATTCCACCTATCCAGATGGTTTTGAAGGAGATATCATCTGAAACACAACCGGAGAAGAAACTGGACAATGGGCAGCGAGGAAAATGTGAGAGAGAGAGAGAGAGGAGGGTTGAGGAGAGAGATAAACTGGGGGGTTGTGAAATGAGAAAGTGAATAATTGAGAATGAGAAGGTGGGATTATATGGAAGAAGAACCTGTGGTGTTCCATGTAAATAGGAGGTCCTCTGTAAATTTTGAAGAGTTAGAAAATGCCGTGTGGGAACAGTTTTTTTTTTAACTTTCTTCAAAATTTCATGGTAGGACGGACGTCCGTAAAAGCTCTGTTTAAACATTATCAGCAATTTAATCTGTCAATTTTGTACGTACTTTTATTGGGAACTCTCATAGTAGAAATTGTGTTATATTTTAACTCTTGGATCAACTTTTTAGGCTAAGAATTTACCACATGCGGCATAAAACTGCTTTTAATTATAAATAAGACCATTCAATGATGCAACAGTTAAAATAAGAGTACATAACCATCGGACAAAAGTACAATTTCTATCATAAATCATTTTTATGTTGATATCATTTTAATTAGATCTATCGTGAAAATAGTTATTTACCAGGTTAACATTGGGAGTTAAATATAGAGCACGTGCCTATTTATTGACTTGTCGCTTATAAACTCTGATTTTCATGGAATCCCTTCGTACGTGTAATATAATTGAGATACCTACTAAAATTTTCAATTACTGTATTATTGGTGAGACTAATCTAGACCACCCAATAATTGATAACGTTGTACTTTCGACGATCAAATGTAGGTCCTTCATCTAATGGTGTTGGCACGTTTGGGGATCCCTTGGTTAAGGACTTTTGCAGATGGTTTGGAGCCAATAGAAAGGAATTAGTAGCACCAATTTAGATATACCTTTAGAAGACTCCATTTTAACTTGTGCGCCAAGATTTGTTGGTTTTTTTAAGGTCCCGTTCTTTTCGCTGATTCGAGTTTTGCTACAGTAAAAAACTCTAAAAAACAGTCACATTTAACTTTTTTACTACAGTAAAAAGCTCTCATACAACATCACTTCTCAACTCAAATTAAAAACTCAAATTAGCAAACCGAACGGGTATTCCCATCTATTAAGGTGGAAATTGTACACTACGCTAGCTGGCTTGTGAGCTCCTTAATCCAATAACACAGTTACACCTGATGGAAAATTTTCATAACTTGTTTTGAAATTTAACGAAATTTCTAAAATAAATTAAATATAACAAAAAAAAATTAAAAGTATTATAATAGTGGTATCATATTTTATACTATATAAAATAAAGATACCAAATTTTGCTATTCTTGAAATGCATTAAAATTCTTTGTTATATTTGAATTTCACTATTTAACTTTGGCATACGTGTAAAGAAAAGAACAATCCCCACTCCATGGACTCTTACCCTCTCACAAACTACCTTTACATGGAAGTAAAGAAAGTGCTGAATGGCACCAACAGCCGTTGCCCATTATTCTTTTCTTTTGGGGGAAACATTATAAAGTGAAAGGCTGAAAAAGAGTACTTATCTAGAGAGTCTTAACGTGAAAAATGCGTGACCAAGAGGACCGCCATGTAGCAATAATCTAGTGCTGAGAAATTGCTTGGTATATACCATGTAAGCCAAAAACCATGAAAGTCAAGAGGCAATATCTTTATTAATTCTTAGCGCTAACCTTGGTCATTTGAAAACCGATAAGCCCCATGACACTGTAAAATTTCTCACCCCTTTCAAACTATTCATACTTCATCAGAGAATTATTCGGGATTCATTATCTGCAACTTAATTTGCTAAACGATACATAACCACTACACTTACAAACCACGCAATATTTTTGTTGTGTTATAATATCAACAAAATTTATGTGTAATATAATACCGTCATAAGAGCACATTATTGGCAGATTTGACAATCCAAATTATAACGTACTTCGGTATGTTACCATCAGCATTCTATCCTTCCAAATGTTTGGTCTTCCAAGAATCTTGATCACGACAGATTCCAACTGGAATCACGACCAGCCTGAGACCAGGTAGCAAGAGGCACGACAAACTCCATCGTGAGAATCACAACCAACATCGCAAGGTTTACGATGGCTTCATGAGAAGGGTCAGGAAAAGTGGGTTGCAACTATCATGACCAAGTGGCGCATATAAGGAGGTTATTTACCGACAAATTTAATGTTTTTGAGTTCAAATACTTCTGAAATTTTAAGTATTTTTTGTTAGTTTGATGTATTTTGTACGTTTTCATATGAATCATTAATTAGGTGAAAACAATAAAAAAAAAATTGGAGTTTTGGAAAAAATTTAATTCCTTGATAAATTAGGTTTAATTCCTTCTAAGTGATCAATAAAAAAAATTCTCTATTTTTTCTATCATGAAAAGAAAAAAAATAAAAATAAAAACTTAAAAGCAAGCTTAATCTCTTAGTTTGTCTCTTGTACGTGTCTCGGTTTTTCTTTCTTTCTTTTTTTTAATTGAGCTTTGTTAGGGTTGACGGCACTTTGGTCTTTTCATTAAAACGGTCACATAATAAGTCACAAAAACTAATATTAATGGAAGCCCATCCATTGCCAATAATTTAAAAGTTATAAAACTATTTATCAAAATTTTAATCGACTAAAAAGCGTTGTCACCTACTAAAGACTTGAGGACCCAAAAAGGAAAAACTACTCTTTTTTTTTTTAAAAAGGAAATTTTCTGGTAGAATAGAAAAAAATAAACTCTCAAGTCGTTCACTTCGCAGATTCGAGTTTTCAATTCGAGCTGAGATGTGACATTTTCCGAGAGCTTTTTTACTATAGCAAAAAAAATTGATGTGATATTTTATAAAAGCTTTTTACTGTAGAAACATAAAACTGAAAACTCGAATTGGTGAAATGAACGAAGCCTAATAATTCTCTACTTTTCAGCCATCAAATCAATGTCAAAAATTATATGTTATGCATTCTTCTTTAATCTGATATAATTTTAACTAAATCTAATGATCAAAACTAATCATACCGCTAGGCCTGCCCACCGAAAAAGGTCCCTCTTTTTTTTATGTAAGGTTTTGGTGCTCTTAACGACAGCACCACCCTAGCTATCATAAGTTCCAGCCAGGCCGTACGTCATCTCCAAAGAAAGTTACAAGAGAGATTTTTAACTTTCTTTTGTGCTGAATCAAGAAACATTTTAGAAGTAGCAAATAACATGGTAAAGAATAGGACCATTAAAAGTTCTAGTACAATTAATCACTCCCGTCCAAAAAAAATTCCCGAACTAAGAAAACCTCACAAA